GCTGTAGAAGGGCAAGTTTGTGGGATAAGGTACAGGGCTCGCGAAACAGCGGTCTGATAATTCTGATAAGAAGTGCATGCAGTTACGTGTGCACGCGTACACGACTGTTAAACGACAAGTAGGAACACACGTGTATAGTTCGAGTTAGCAACTTAAATGGTCCGTGAACTGTAGTTAGAATTACTTGTTGTCTAGTTGCTAAATATAATACGAGGCAACGATTCGAGATACGCGCCTATACTTGATGGTAAATTACGGTTTCCGGTGTCTTCGGAGACTCGGAGGATCGTAAAATCATGCTTGCGATACTTACTGTTGCCAGAGCATCTCGATGAACAACGATGAATGTTAAAAATTAAAAATTAAATGTATAATTTTTAAACAAAAGAGTTTCATATAGTGGAAGAATAATTTTAAAATAATTTTAATTTTAAATTCGTGGCTCTCTCCATGGTCCGCCGTTCTCGGGTTAAGATCCAAAGACTAGACTTATTTCCCCACGCCCAAAAACTCAAAGTTCAACGTGTCCAGAACAAGGCCTTAAAAATAATTCTCGATAAACCCAAACGCTACTCAACTTAAATGTTAGGGATACAATGATATTAGCAAAGTTACACTGACAAGAAGGGTCTTGAAATTTTGTTTCAAAAGAAACTCCCAACAATTCTAATAATCTTCCAGAAGGTAAGGAAAGAAAGCTCGGGTTGCAAACTCATCTTTCACAATTTATCCAATATATCACAATAAGCTGTCACGTACTATTACATTACCTGCATTACCAACTTCACAGCTGACGTGAGTCTGAATTTTTCACCAACTCGATATTAAATTTTTAGTCGAAAATTGTGTCAATAGGCTTTCAATCGATAAAGATAGACGTTTTTAAAATTAGACGTTTTCATTCATCAATGTCATATTGTTATTCAAACGACACAACTTCGTACAAGGGATACAAGGTTATGATTAGATAGCAAGAGTGGCATCTGCAAGAGCTTTGCAAAGTAGAAACTTCGCCAGCATCGTTACTCCGTCTATGACCGTATTTTACATAATCATAGACGTTAACTAGTTCGTACCAATAAGAGGAGTCGATAATACTGTGGCCATGTGCCGTCTACTTTATTGCGAACCACCCTTATATACTGGATACAACTTTGGAACACATATTTCGCCCGTTGGAGAAACAGGTGTTCAAGGACTACCCTAATTAATTTCTTATTAAAATTAATAACTCAATTTCTTTTCATTCGTCTGTAGATTAAAAATTGACAATTTTCTAAAGCTTCTATTTCCCTTACAGAAAACTAAAATTTTCTTGAATTTTCTGATTGGATATTTAATTTTGCAATCTTATTTAAAGTAGAGATATTCCTCATTACACTGATATGTAAATTAATTATTAAGAATTCAAAATTCTCCAAAGCTTTTAATTCCCTTGCAAAAGAATAGAATTTTCTTGAATTTTCTGATTGGAATATTGAAAATTATTTAATTTTGCAATCTTATTTAAAGTAGAGATATTCCTCATTACACTGATATGTAAATTAATTATTAAGAATTCAAAATTCGCCAAAGCTTTCAATTCCCTTACAGAAAAATAGAATATTCTTGAGTTTTCCGAATGAAATATTGAAAAATATTTAATTTTGCAATCCTACTTAAAGTAGAGAGATTCCTTATTACATATATATGTCAATTAATTATAATTAAATTAACGCATAGAGAAAACTAATACTACAGATTTAGTAATATAAATATAATAATCCATAATAAAGCACCCTGAAGTGAACTAGAATCAGATCATCTTCAGTAGGAAGACGTAGAGAAACGTCTTCCGGAGTAGTAGCTTTCCTTGTCTCCTGCGAGTCGAAAGACGTGCACAGAATCCGCACGAGGATCGGCTGCGCTTCCCGCATGCCTGTGGCGTGTGTTTTTCAGAAGGAGTACATACGTAAAGCTGATAATGGGGCGGCCATTTGCCAGGCTGGCTCGATCGTGCATCCCTCTCGCGTACTCGACGCAGCCGGGCCACGGCGTGTGCAACACGCGGCATCGCATATCGATTAGAAGCTTTCGTGGCGAACAACGGGAACCGAGAAGTCGACTTCCATTCGCGACAACCTGCGACACGATTGCAAAGCTAATAATCACCAGCTATTTTCAAGCGGAACGGCTGAAAAAGGTCAGGAAATGCTGGAACACCATAAGAGACTAGCTCTTCGAGATATCTTTTGTAAATGGGAAGGAAAATTGGAACCCCTATTGTTACTTTGATGCTGATGGTCGAGTAGGATTAAAAATGGAGAAATTGAAAATTGAAAAGTAGATACATTTTATTTTTAGCACAATTTAATGATTACATAATTTTCTACATAGGTGCACAGAAGTATATACATTTTAGGGCATGGTTCTATAGGGGTTAATTTTTGAACAGCGGAGTCTGGGTCAATCTAGACCCAGATATTAATTAAGGTTGAATGCATAATTTTTAAACGAAAGAGTTTCATATATTGGAAGGATAATTTTTAAAGGAATAAAATATGAAATACGAAGTTAAATTTAAACTGTGGCTCTCTCCATGGTCCGCCACTCAATTTACTAAAATCAAGGTAATCTATGTATCTCTTAAACGACTCCGTCAACAAAAAGCCTACTATTACTGCATACTACCACTCTCCATACAATGCATATTTTATTTAAAAAATATTCTTCCTCCTGTTACAATTTACGAAATAATGAAAATGGTAACAGTCTACCCGGCATATCGCCCCCCTTGTAACAATTTCTGAACATAATCCTTCCGCAATTTGTCTTGCTACTTACGTACTATGGTGTCGCATAAATGAATATGAAAATGAATGATTGGAATTAATAATGATGAAAGAGAGAAGGGAATGGAGTGGAGGCGTGCCGCGACGGTACGCGTCACGTTGCCCCATTATGCTTATGAATATAAATGTACCCTTGGTGGTGGCCGCAATAAATGCCGGCCACAGCGGCGGCGGTTCTCGGAATTCTGTGTTGGAAACTGGCCTGGCTAGTACACGTGGTGTTCTGGCCATGGAACAACTGGAAAATAAAAGGCGTAGCTCTGCCTGCGGCCAGTTTTTCCTCTTTTTCCTCTGCGTCCCTTTACCCTTCGCGCGCAGTTACTTCGGTCCTTTTGCTTTACGTTCCGACGACCAACGCCGCCCGCGAATGGCACCACGCGGTGGGCCGCATAAAAGAATAATTAAAATAAAGTAGCGGAGTAACGTGTAATTCTGCCGAAATTGTGGCGCGACTATGATAACGAATAACAACGAAACAGTTAATAAAAGGAAGGTGGTTCGGACGTGGAACATCGCGTTGTCTAACGCGTTCATTGTCACAATGAAATCTGTATTATAATATTAATTATCATCCTGTTAAACGGCGCGCTAGCCGCCAGGAATTTAATTCCCATAGAATAAGACAATTTTAAATAGCGTTAATATTGTTATAACTAAAGCAATGGCACTGTGGTATTCGATATGGTAATTTTTAATTTTACAAAAATAGATCAAAGAAGATTTCTTTTCATTTATTTACTTCGTTTCATTATCTCTTTTGCGAGTAATGGAAAGAATTTCCTCGGGAAATTTCCCTTTGCAATTCGTTTAATGTTGTGGGAATGAGGTATCGGAATTTTGGGATTTATACAGTGGCACGGTTTCCAGGTTCATGAATTATGCAGGCGTCGGAGGAAGTTCTCGAACAGGCGGTAATGAGAGGCGAGCTGACTTTCTTCTTTGGAAACACTGGTCAATGAACCTTCCTGTCTTTCGTTGTTTGTTTCTATTTTCTTCCTGGAGTTCCGATTTCATGAAAATCCGAGACGTATATTTGAAACTTAATGTCTGTGATTTTGCATAATGAATTCTAATATAATATTATTTTTAATTTTTCTCCAAAATATCTAACAATTTTCTTATCTGTATATAAAAATATGAAGATCATTTCGCATGGATAAAAATGATCGATTCGAATTTTTCTTCAGGAATAAAGTTACAAGCGAAGCAACTTATATCCAACTTACCTCCCTTTTTCTCACCTTGCCACCTCTTTCATCCTGGGTGTCCACGTATACACGGTTGGCAGGCTTCCAAACGTTTGAATCGTTGCCCGATATCATATCGCCTCTCTTCTTCTCACGGTTCCCTCGTTCGAAACTTTTCTGTCCCCGTTTTATCGCGTGTCGGGCATCGCCATTTGGCGCAGGTGTATCGATCACGTTGCACGATTTTACGCCAAGTGTCCCAAATTATCGGAACGTTCGCCAGCCGTATTTAGCTGTTCGAATTTGTCCGGTATTTTCGATCGCTCCGCTGCCGTACCGTTCGGTCTTGCTAAAAGGGAATTAAGTCGACACGTAACGGCGAAATCGTTCGGAAGAAAAGCGATGTAAAAGGATTTGAAAAATAAATTAATTTCAGAAGTTTAAATAGAAATTAGAAACTAATGTTATAAACGTTTCCTTTTATCCGGAATTACATTATTTCAAAGACAATTTTTGTTAAGGCAAAGTAAAACTTTGCTTCTTTCGTCGGGAGGTAAACGCGTTATCTGTTACATCAACCGCAAACACGCTTATCGATCATCTGCGACACGTCTACCTTTCCTCTGCAGAAAAGCACGAATAAGTGAAAAACTATGTTCACCTTCGATATACATTTTCAGCTCGATAGAAAAGAATCGATCAATCAATCAGGGTAATAGACGATATAAGAACATTCAGCTTTGGTAAATTGTCCAAATTATTTTCTGACCCTTATATAAATTTCCACAATCAGCTCTGATGTGTTTAATATTTAAAACATATAAAGGAGAAATGAAATAAACGTAGTTATTCGTTAATCCTCGGAGGGCGGACCATGGAGAGAGCCACAATTTTAATTTATGTAATTTTGTATTTCACACAATGTGCGTATGGGATAATTAATTCCCCGCTTTAATGGGAATGATATGTTTGTCTGTTGCAGTCTGCAGTCAATTCAGCAGAGGGGTGTTCTCCATGTTGGGTGCAGTGAGTCCAGATTCGTTCGACACCCTTCATTCTTACAGCAACACGTTCCAGATGCCTTTCGTCACGCCCTGGTTTCCCGAGAAGGTAAATAACAGCACACTTTCACCCGTCAGCTAAATAGAAACTTGTAACGTCATCGAAGGGAACACCCTCGACTATTTTTAACCCTTCGCAACCTCGCAGATTCCCCGCTACCAACCGATCAACCTTCGACCTTATTTTTACCTCGTCTCTGAACGCTCATCTGCGTTCAATTAAAAAGTTGACGCGAACTACGTTCCGTGATTTTTTAACGAAGAATAACTTACGGTATCTGATTAGTTTAGAATTTTCTAACAATTGGAAACTCTGATTTCTTGATAAGTAGTTCGCGAAGATAAGATGGATCGAATCTTTGAATAAATTTGTAAATCACTTGCAACGATATCCAAAAGAGAATCTCTAATTAAAATCTATCAAACTGAAAAGATTTTCTAATTTAATTAATCGAATTGCCAAGATATTCCTCACGAAGAGTAGAGGGAAACAATAACGCGACGTTTCGTGATACCGCGAGGGAAAAATAGCGTGGCTGGTGGAAATTGAAAAAGATCTCCTCGCATAAATGGCGAGCCGTAACTGACCAATGGAAATGCGAGAGGAGGATAAAAATAAAAATGAAGGGAGAGCCTCGAATTAGCATTACTACGCGATTAGCATTTAAACGACACGGACGTTCGTTACGCGGTCGACGGTGTTCACTTACCTTCATACGTGTAATGCACGTACACACGTGTGTACACCGAAAACACAGATTGGATAAAAACGCACACTTACGTCCAGCCGGAATATACGGCCGCGCCATTCATCCAATATGGACGTACGATATCAGTTTTGCAAGTGGTACCGTAGACCGATAAATGCACCAACGTTCGCCATTCCACGCGGCGAATAAATTTTCAATCCCCCCCTTTCTCTGTTCATTTCGAAATTCAAATTGTAATATGTTTGTATACACCCTCTGTCCATACATATTCAAGAATTTACGAGCAGGGTGTGCACCCTCTGCATACGCTAATTATCGACACGATCCTTGCGAAATTATTGATACCGATTCGAATTTCCTCTGCTAACAAAGCGAGTTTAGAAAGATAGCTTTTACCTTTGTAGTTCGATTTTTTTTTTTTTTTATGGTCAATAGGAACTTCGTTATGTGAAATGAAAAATGCGTAGTAATACAGGAAATACAGTTTATTCATTATAAATACAAATAGTTTATATTCAACTATCGACTCGCTACGATTCGCCACAAAGTCATGGTAGCCAAGCTGATCCATGGAACAAAAAAGCGACGTCCTGCGTCTCGCATGCGACGTACACGCATGCCGCATGCTGCACGCTGCCGATTAAATCTATCGCCACAGTTATGTACTGCACGGGGTATGTTAGACTTCTCCAGGTTCCTGGCCCTCACCATAGGATTCCCGTTCCCCTGGTTACCCGATAGTGACCTTAGGAGTTCCAGAGATCCCAGGTGCTTGTTTTACCAGTCCCTATATCATCACACGTTGCAGTGACAGCTAAGAAGACATAATCTTGACTCCTCTTGATGGTATTCTTTCAAAAATCGGTAAAAATCAGCATAAATCTAAAAAATTATTAAAATAATTGTTTGAAAAATTTGTATACACTTCACGGGGTTTGGTAAATAAATCATTATAAAAATGCAACTGAGTTGTTAATTAATTTAGAAAAGATTCTGAGCTATTTATTTAATTTACCCAATTTCCTTTCTGTATCATTTATGTTTCTTCTACAGAGGTATTTATTTAACTTACTTAATTTCCCTTCCAAGTTATTTAGATTATTTAGTTAACTTCATCACGCAGTTATTGCATCGCTACATCTCTGCATCCCAAACATCGTTTCCTTGCTTATATACATGCATCCCTTACCTCACTACATCACACTTACATCTCTGCATCCCTTACATTTCTGCATCCCTTACATCCCTAGATTCCATACATCCCTGCTCCCCTTACATTTCTGCATCCCAACATCCCTAGATTCCATACATCCCTGCACCCCTTCATTCCTGCAATCCAGGTTTAAATTTTCCTCGAAACAATAGCGCCCTCTAGCGGCAAAAAAAGGAACTAAAGAACGAATAAATTTTGCGCCCTCTAGCGTAGAAAGTTTGAACTAAATTTTTCTCGAAAAATCAGCCCCCTCTAGCGGCAAAAAAAGGAACTAAAGCACAAACAAATTTTGCGCCCTCTAGCGGAGAAAGATGGAACTAAATTTTTCTCGAAAAATCAGCGCCCTCTAGCGGCAAAAAAAGGAACTAAAGAACGAATAAATTCTGCGCCCCCTGGCGGAGGAAATTTGAACTAAATTTTTCTCGAAAAAACAGCGTCATCTAGCGGCAAGAAAAGGAACTAAAGCGCGAATAAATTTGGCGCCCTCTAGCGGCAAAAATTTGAACTACATTCGAAACGTCGAAACAGCGCCCCTGGCGGTAAAAATGGTAACTAAATTTATCACGATTCTTCGAATTCTTGTATAGATACAGAAGAGATGGAGGGATGTGAGGGATGCAAAGATACAAAGAAAGCAGAGATGTAGGGAATGCAGAGATGTAAGGGATGCAGGAATACAAAGATGGCAGTGATGTAAGAGATGCAGGAATATAAGGGTGGCTGGGATGTAAGAGATGCAGAGATGTAAGGATGTGAGGGAGGCAAAAATGTAGGGGATAAACGGACCTAAGAGGTGCAGGGGTGTATGGGAATCAAGTATGTAAAAGTTGCAGGGATGTAGGTATAAAAGAATATAAGTGTTAGATGGTTACATAGATATAAGGGATGTAAGGGATACGGGTATACCATGTGGTCCTCGCGAAGCCCATAAAAAGGAATAAAATAACAAATAGTTGGGAATTGTGGACTTTGGACCAGGAGGAGGGATAAAATGAAAAATAAAAGGGATGGTCATCCGAGAGATAGAATCATAAATTTCATCCCCCTCGTGAGCTTATTCAATAAGCTATGAAAGTAAATAAAATAAATAAAATATACTTCGGAAACAAATTAAAGGTATATGTACGTTTGACAGATAGATCCGCACCCCTCGGCAGTCGCTGTAAGAGTGACTACGTTTCACTTTACTCTAAACCTAGAGTCTAGGTCAAACTTCTCATATTGAGAATTAATTACTGTGTTTTAATTTAGGTGTGATTTTCACATATTTTATGTTTTTAATTTATTAAAAGTAACACAGTTATTAAATGTTGTATAAATAGATATCTGAGAAAAGAAATTACGTGCATTAAATAAATAACTGAGAAAGAAAATTGGGTTAATTATATAACAATTCAGTTCCTTTTTAAAATAATTTATTTACCAAGGCACATGAAGTGTATACAACTTTGTCAAACAATTATTTATACCGTGGTCTGTGGTCTCCACCACTTGCATATGAACATATACGCAGGAGATATTCAATTAATATTAATGCTATTATTCATTAATGTCATCGAAATTAAGATTTTGAAAATTTCTACTTCCCCTGTAACGCCATTTTCCCAAGGGAAGCCTTCTGTGCTCGGTATTGTGCAAATTACCATAACTTCCAAATTATGTACAATATTGTATCGTGATTTTTCTGAGTAAAATAAAATTTAAGTTTTACCTAAAAAGTTTCTAGAGAATCATTTAAAGTACCTTCAATCATCTTATTACAATTTATTTATGGACTTTGAACTATCCTATCTGAACTTGTATACAATGTGTAATTAAAAGCAAACACATTGCATAAGGCGATTAAAATGGCTCGTTCCTCGAGTAATTTTAACAATCCACTAAATTGAAAATCTGGTCTATTAACCGTTCGGGTTAGCAAATTTCTATTTCCATTAATCTTTATAATATTTCAAATTTATTTAAATTCAAATCGCTAACATAAGGAACGTAACACAAGATTCGCTATAAACGGACAGACTTTTGCACAAACACCATAAGTATTTATGGTGTATGGCTACACTGTTTAACGTTTCCTCGGATGATTAGATTTTCTATCGAGCGCATCGAAGTGAAATAAAATCTGAAATTCGAAGCTTCGACTGTAAGTACCTGTTTCCTGATGCCATAGGTTCTGACACCGTCCTCCGGTCTCCTGGATTTCGCCATAAGTATGCGCCCGGATTATCATCGTGCCATCATCGACACGGTACGATACTATGGCTGGAAGAAGATCATCTACCTATACGACTCCCACGATGGTAAGTCTCCTGGCTTTCTCATGCATTTCTCATTTTACAACGTAGCCTATACAGCCCTCGTTTCACCCCCTCATACTCTGCGAACCGGTACGTGGCCACTTGTATTTTTATTTCATCCGTTCTCCGGTTCTCCAGTGGCCAACATTTCTGCCAGATATCGTAGAAAATCGGCTACAGTCGTTTGCTCGTGCAACACCGATCTGAAACACAAGGATGGTAATGAGAAACGTTGAAGGCGCAGAGTGGAAAAATGGCTCATCTTTCCTGTTATGCAATGATTTTTAGGGTTACACGGTTTTGTATTTTAAAATTGCAAATTAAAATAACTCGAAGATTGCATGTAGAATATACAAATTTTGATCCTTTTGAATTTTAGTAGATGCGGAATCATGGAATTCCATTGGTTTCGAATTCGAATATCTTGGAGTTTAGAATACTTGAATAATTTTGAAAAATCTTTTGAGGTACTTCAGATATAAAAAAGACTTTCTTGAATTTTCTGCACAGAAAATTGTAAAATTCTAAAACTTCTAAAAGTCTAATTTGAAATGTAAAAATTATACCAACACCAAGTTATAATATTCACATTTGAATTAAAATAACTTTTGAACCTTAAAAAATTTGAGCAGTTCTCAAATCTCTTGAAAGGAGATTTCTTGAATTGCTCCTGAAGATGTAAAATTGCAGATTTTAAACAAATCTGCATTGAAAAGTAGGACGAAAAATAAATCTTTTCAGCTTACTCTTTTAAAGTAATTACTTAATTGAAATTTTTCCTGTACTTTTATTTAAAGTCTAAATTAACTAATACAGGCGTGAATTCAAGGAATTGCGTTTTTCATCTGGGCGAACGTCGAATGTCCTCGGGCGACGTCGATCCTTAACGCAGTATACGAGAAGGAAATGCATTTGCATGACTAACTACGACACTGTGTTAATTTTAATTTCATACCTTCACGGTCTAGTAGCCGGCAAAAATGGGATTTTTCATTTCGACCGTGATTCGATATGCAAACGAAAATGTAGGCGACATTGAGATAGTCGAGTGGTGCGCGCTAGAAACCACGATACACTATAATCTACGATGTTTCGCCTCATTTGTGCGATCTAATAACCGTACGAAAAAAGCAAAACGATTTATCGGTGTAGCTATTTAAATAGCACAAGAATGTGCAGACGACATTGAGCCTTAATTATATCCATATTCAAAGAGAAACCTTCATGTACCAAGGATTTCAATTTTCTTAGCAATTATGTTTGTGTAATAATTACCAATCAACTTAAGATTGTTAATCGTAATTCGTCTCAATATTTTTTATCTTTTTAATGATTATGAAAATTTGTAACAAAGAGATCAATAAGTATTGAAAGCGATTTGAAAATTTTTATTTTTCTGCCAAGTAATAATTTCATTCAACTTAACGTTTCGTTAATTAATTCTCGCAATCAAGGATTTACTGAATATGTTAAACGAGTATATATTTATAGATACGTACAAAAAAGTTTCATAAGGAAACGTAAAGGTGTGTTCACATGCAAATTAGGTCATTTTTCCTGGAAATGTTCAGTTGTTCGAAAAGTTCCATCGCTTTATTTCGTATATATGAAATTGCATCATAATATTTAATCATAGAAAGCTATAATTATACTACATTTACTATGTCAATTTTTATATGTACTATGCAATTATTTGCAGAAAGCTGTAATTATTTAATGAATAATGGTGTAATATAGCAGAGGCTAAAATAAATATCTCAGAATTTTTTAAATAAAAAAATTGTTGATTTGTGAAAAGTTAAAGTGTGCTTGCAATAAACCTCATATGTCACTGGCAACCTAGATGTTACAAAATACGCCAGGATCTGAAGGTTTAAGGAAATAATTTGGCACGGGAGGTCGTACCAATTATGCAGCATCAAGGAGACGTTTTTCCTCTTACTTTCGCCATTTGCGTAAGCCGTCGATCGTTTCTAAAACGAGCTGTGATTATTTGCCAAACGATCTGTCGTTCGATCGACGTGCTGGTCGAAAGTTACAAGAATACAAGGAATTTCTCGAGTCTGCGTCAACGAGAACAGTCGCTAAGTACTTTGTAAATTTCTGCTTTAGTCATTCGACATCCTAACGTTTACCAAAGGTGACAATTTTCGGGGAATAACGATTTTTAAAAAATTTTAAATTAACACGTAGATTGTGACGTCAGCCACCAGTGACGAATAATTGAAAAGCAAACAAAATTAAATAACAACGCTATTATAGAAGATTGAGAGTTTTGAATAAAATTTTTTAATTAACACGAAGTTAAAACAGAAAAAGTGATCACGCTTGAATATTCAAAATACCTGGCAACTGTCCGATAATGCAAACTCTTTCTCGCGTTTTTATGAAATTTTCACAATCACCTCGGCAATCTTTCGAACTCGATTGCCTTCAACGGATTGCGAACGTGTGGAACAATCAATTTACTTTAAAAGTTGCGCAAGTAATTGCTCTTTCAATGGTAGGTGTATCAATTTCAGATACGTCACGGTTTGTTGATTCTATTCATTCTCAATCAATACTTTGAATAAGTGACGAAGCAACTTTGAACGGTTTAATCACCGCTTAAGCTACTTTGAAATTCATTTTTGTTATAGTATGCCAATATTTTCTGCAATTCTATTTATATCCAAACGACTAGTCAACAATCCGTTATTTCAAGTTTTAATTCAAGAAATATGAATGAAAATGATGAAAGAACTAAGGTAATATCAACAGTAAAAAATGATTAAAAGGATAATAATTAAAGCAGTTAATTAATTTAACAATATTGCTGTTAATTTCTCAAATGCATGGATAAAATTTAGAAATCTCACAATGTGAATTCATAATTTTTTTGAGCTGAAAACTCTAATTGTATAATCTAATCATATAGAGTTATAATTAAATGAAAATGAAATAGCTTGAAAATTGCATCTACAGCAAGGTTCTTCTTGAAAACAATTTAGGTGTCTCATTCAGGGGAAGGAATCGCTCAAGTCTCTCTGATTTGTCCGAAACATTAGCCCGAAAAGTGGAGGAGGAAATTTAATTACTTAATGAAGCCGGTGGAACGATCGTTCGAGCGAAACGATTAATCACCCGCCCCCTCGTGACTGTTTCGTGCCTTGCCGGTTTCCGTTTCATTATAACTCGGTCACGCGCACCCAAAGCTATTTAGGATTCCGACCAATTGCTCTTCTTCGACCAGTAAACTCCGATAAGAACGAGCATCCCGCGAACGGACCAAGTTTAATTACCGAATGCAAATGCAAATATACTTTAGGGACCGTCTTCGTGCATCCCTGTGCCTTGAATATCCCTTACAACTTGCTATTTAAACTTGCAACAACGAAAATTGGTAGCAAACATCGATGAAATTTTCTATTTGAATATGTGTTCAATGATTTATTCAGAAATAATGATAACAATTTGAAACTATATCCTAATAAACTAGATTTATTTTTTTACTTTTCGTGATTCAATTTTCAAAAAGGTTTGCATTTATAATAAAAGAAAGGCCTAATTTATCAGTGATACTTGTGGAGGATAAAATTTCCGACACTTTTCATTCCAGAAAAATAAATGCAATCTGAGTATCCTAGTCTAGATGGTAAGATTTTGGAGTTTCTTTTTTATTTTACTTTAACTCGAATTTCAGAACAGTTGGTATATAAAATAGAAAAGAATCTAATTTAGAAATAGAATAGGGTAACGTATGCAATTGTTAACCCCTATAAAATAATTGATCCTTTTCCTAAAAAAGTAAAATCCCTAAACCTCTGATGACGGACCATGAAGAGTCACAATTTTAACTTAATTTTGTATTTCATACTATTTTCTTTTGTTTAATAATTATACATACAATTTTTCAGGAAAAGAGTCAATGATTATATAGAGGACAGTAACTGTATACGTTACCCCTTATAGAACAGGAAATCAAGTATACTTTTCATTGAAGAAAACTACTTACAATCTGAGTATCCCAGCACAGGTGTCAAAACTGCATTTCACTGAACTCAGTTTTCCATCAAATGGATTCTTTCTCTTATTTCGACTCAAACTTTAGAGCACCCAGAGCATAAATAAAGAGGACAATCTAACTCACAAATAGAATCCTACTTTTCATCCAAGCCTACTTTTCATAAAATAAAAAAATTGTTACAATTCCAGAGCAGACATCAGAGCCACATTCCACTGTGCTCGGTTTTCCTTATAGCTCTTTGCTTGTCTTATTTCTTCTTGACTTTCAGACTAACAGGGACTTCCTTTTTCTGTATTAAATAGAATTGTACCTTCAAGGTCGAGTTGAAGGTCTTCGCCTTTCTGTCATCGTTCTTAAACTTAACCCCACATCTTCCTGGTGGATTATTTCGAAATCGGGATGCTGGCTGGCGCGTTCCAGCCACTTGTGACTTACGAAACGCCTTTTTAAACGAACTTGGCCCGCCTCAGCAATTGGCCATTCAAGGCCATCGAGTTAGTGACCCCTGCGATACGCTCGCTTCCATTTTTCTCTGCTTGTTTTGCTCGAAACAGAACTGTGTTCGTGGAAAAATGGTAGAGGAACCGGTATTCAGCTGTTTAGCTCGTAAACTGGGTCGACTAGATGCGGCCGAAGTTTTGTGAGAATCGTTTACGTGGTCAGTTTAAATATTTTTTCGCTCTTATGAAGTCAGTGATTCCATTTCTGCACCAAAAAAGGGATTTTTGCAAGTTAAAACGAAATAAAGTAAAAAATGAAGCAATTTATATAAAACAAAACACAGTGAAAAGAAATTTAAAAAGAAAAATTAAAATTAAATTTTGGAAAATTTCTATAATACATATCAGGAAAATGTAAATCAATTTTCAAATTCTAAACAATACACAGTAATGTAAATAATTTATAAATGATTGAATAAGTAATAATTTCTCTAGTATAAAAAATTTCATACGAATCTCCTGAAAAATATATTTTTTTCGAGCACACCAATGATATAATATAAAATATTAGAATTAATAACAGTTGCAACGGTGGATTGTAATAAAAATTGTAGCAAACTCTATCGCGCACATGGTATTCTGAATCTCTGGCATGAAATTGTTTGTTTTTCGAGGGGAACACAAATTCTGTGGATTTATTTCGCATCTCAAACAACGGGTATTTTAAACAAAAACTTTAATCGAGCCACAAATCCAC